TTTCAAATTTTATGAACCTGCATGGCTGAAATTTTCCATCAGGACCACTGAGATTACCCATAATAGGCAGCCTTTGGTGCTTGAACACAAAGGAAAGCTTGGGAACCCAATTGGTTAAATTGAGAAATCATTATGGAAACGTTTTCAGGTTGGTTTCAAATTTGATGAGTCCTTTATTTTTGCACACAAAAATGTTTTTTTCTTCTCTTTTGTGCAGTTTCAAGTATGGTCAGCTTGAAAGTGTGGTTATATCTGATCCGAAAATATTGAAGCAAGTTTTGACAAGTGAGGAAGGAGCTGGAAGACCACCGCTGTTCTATATTAAGAACATTATTTATATGAATGAAAATATGGGTAATTTATTTTGTTTGTACAGTATTATGGTCCATGTGTTTGAAATTTCATGCCAGTTAATTCAAACGTATTTGTTGCACAGGGCTGATATTTTCTGAAGGTGATCTATGGAAGGAACAGAGAAGATTTTGCTTAAAGTCAATGCGGGATTTTGGCTTTGGCAAAACTCCAATGGAAGTATCCATCATGGCTGAATTGGAAGAGCTTGTTGGCAAATTGAAGCCTGTAGATGCAAAAGCAGGAGAGACACTTGTAACTCAGCTTGATGAAAGGGTTGCTGCTACAGTATTGAATTCTTTGTGGATGATGGTGGCTGGTGCGGGTTCATATTTTTCAAGATGTATTAATTGCAGATACACATGATGTAAACTCAGGGTTTTTTTTCCAATAGGAAGCCGCATTCATTTGGATGATCCAGAATTCCACCATACTCTCAACATGATTCAGAATGAAATCAATCCAGCCATCATAGCATCAATGTTTCCCAGTTTTATACCTTTCCTGCCAGCAAAATTGATTGGAATGGGTTCAGAAAGGAGGAATGGAATTCAAAGAAGCTATGCTTGGATGAAAGTAATGTACTACTACTTCATGATGTAAAAGTTTTGCTTTCCAAAGATGATTTTGTTCAGGCCTTTGTGGACCATCACAAGGAAACACTGGATCCATCTTCTCCAAGAGATTTTGTTGATGCTTATTTGATTGAGCAAATTAGACTGAAGGAATCTGGAAACTCAGATCACAGCTTTACAGGTGAGTTTTTGCAGTGTCATGGGATAGAAGTAGTGATGTTAGTTACTTTTTATTTTTGTTCCCAAAAAACAGATTTGAATTTGCTAGCAGTTATGTTGGATCTTTTTGTTGCTGGAGCTGAAACAACATCAACAGGACTCAAATGGTTCTTTTTGTACATGATTGAGCACCCAGAAATCCAGGAAAGAGTACATCAGGAAATTGATGCTGCCATTGGCGTAAGAGCTCCTGAATGGAATGACCACTTGAAGTAAGTATTTTTGAAAGATCATTAGTCTCCAGTTTACAAAAGTTCTTGCTGATTTATTTTCAGTATGCATTATACACAAGCTGCCATACATGAAATGTGGAGAATTCCCTCTGTTGCTCCTGCTGGAGTTGATCATAGGTTGCTCCAAGACAAAGAAATTGGGGGATATCTTATACCAAAGGTGATATGATGCATATTTTCTGATTTTCTAGCTTAAATCATTATATGAATTTTTTCAGGGAACCATAATTCAAGGATTGATTTATGCCATTCACACTGATCCAACGTATTGGAAAGATCCCATGGTTTACAATCCCGACAGATTTCTGAATGAAAGCAGGGAGTTTCATATTGAACACAAAGATGCCTTCTTACCCTTTGAGATTGGTCTGTAATTTTCGCCTATTAGTTGAAAATCTATGAAAGAAGATCTACCTGAAAATTCTTTTCTTCCAGGAAAACGACAGTGTTTGGGGGAAAATGTTGCCAGGATGACAACTTTTCTTACAGTTGCTACTTTGTTGCAGAAATTTAGGTTCAGGAAAGTTCTTGGGACAAAATACAACCTTGAGCCAAAACCCAACAGCAACGTTATCAATGCTCCTTTCCCCTATGAAGTCCTGGTTGAAGTTCGGAAATGATGCATACTGTATAAGTGTACAGTCAACCCCATCTAACGGACTTGATTTGTGCAAGGGACGAGTCTGTTAGACAAAAAGTCCTTTACACAAATTCAANGGGGGGGGGGGGGGGGGGGGGGGGGGGGGGGGGGGGGGGGGGGGGGGGGGGGGGGGGGGGGGGGGGGGGGGGGGGGGGGGGGGGGGGGGGGGGGGGGGGGGGGGGGGGGGGGGGGGGGGGGGGGGGGGGGGGGGGGGGGGGGGGGGGGGGGGGGGGGGGGGGGGGGGGGGGGGGGGGGGGGGGGGGGGGCGGGGGGGGGGGGGGGGGGGGGGGGGGGGGGGGGGGCACTGTATATTATTTGATATTCCTTTGTTTTATGTCATTGCTACGCACCTGGATAATTTGAAGCTCATGTAAAAGGGATTCTTCCAATGTCTTCTTTATGTCGAATATATATATATATATATTTTTCAAGTCACTGTCTGAATTCCCATAAAAACAACATGCATGAATCCAAAACATCATTAACCCAAAAGCTTTCCTCTTCAAACCTCCAAATAATCTAACTCCAATTGTTCTAAAGCCCTCAGGGAGTTTTTTTTTGCAGGAAAAATATAAGCAATAAAAATTTCACTTATAGATGTGTTTTGAAAGGAAGTGAGGGACTAATTTAGAAAATTAGTTCCTCACTCAAAACCCTTGCCTCCAAGATCAGCATCCTATTAAATCATTTATTCCGCATCTCAAGGCCAAAAATCATGCATTTTACATCCCTGCTGTAATATTTTTTATATTTATATCCAAGAGTTTTCAGCAGTTTCCCTATCTCAACTTTGTCTCCTGATTCCATTAACTTCTACTTGAAGATGTTTGATGGTTGATGCTGTATGTACACAAGGTACAGTATTAAAATTGCCTTTTTGTTGCTACGTACCAGGTATAAACAGCTAATTGAAGACTGTTGCAGCCAATGAAGGCAGCCCACCAAATAGGTCCTTTCTCCTGTCTGACTTTTTATGTGGCTTTATTGTTAATAAATAATTTACAATCATTTTTTAAATCGTTAAAAGGCAGGAATATATTGCATGGATAGTGTCCATCTGTAAATCGAAACGAGCGACACCTATATGTTCATACGTTCAGGACGAGAGTTCCGAAGATCTGTACTACACATCCCTGAAACAGAAGTCTAAAACCTAAGAGCAACCGCGCGTATCATCAATTGATGGGCCTTTCCCATACGGACGAACTCTTGTTCGAAGTTCGACTTTGATTATAGTGAATTCTATTCTTGTATTTGCTGTTATATAGTCGCCTATATGTAAATTGTTAATCAGGATTGTGCTGTGCAGCAGCATTTTAATTTTCTCCTCTTTGCGTGCAGCAGCATATTATCCTGTCTGAATTGCTGCTGCTGAATGCCTGCGTGCGGGTGCGACTTACATCATCAGCAGGTCCTTGATTGCTTTGATTTCCTTCCTGTTATTTGGACTGAATATGTGTTAATAACTTTTCCAGCAAAAGCTGGTTTCCTTAATTTTTCTTTGAATAGTACAGATTTAATGTCATTAAAACATATACAGTACTTTTTTACTGTTCATGGAATTTACGGAAGTCGGGCATATATACCGCAGCAGTGAGAATTGGGCCTCTCTATTCCTTCCTTACAGTGAAACCTAGTTTCAGCTTTTGAACATCTTCGGACGAAGCTCACTTAACCTCATTGCTTTTAATAAACCTGGAGCGATAGAGAATCCAGAAATCTTGCCGATAAGCAGCTGATGGAACAGCAGGAGTCATTTCAATAATTTCAGTATAGACTAAGGGATCCCTATTAGGAGGCTTAGAGTGACACCTATCTATAGATACTGGAAAATTTATTTTCCGTCCATACCACCCACTGAGCCATCACTCGGAAGAAGATGATTGCATGGATTGGAGGAGATGCGGACGAAGCCTGAAGAGAAGAGAATTACAATGCTACTGTTCTGACCATTGACCTGACGACTACCTTTTTATGAGTGTGTGTGAATTTGTAATGTGGTTGCAGTTGTCGTCTCGATTATGATTACGGAGTTAGACTTTGAATAAATCCTCCGGAAATAATTAACGCTGGATGAGGATTCCTTCATTCAACCTCAATGTAGTGTCGAAGAGAGATACTCGGACAGGGAGCGCCGACGGTTGCTGTTTTCCGCGATCGCAATTCGGCGGATTTTCCGGCTCGGTATTGTTCGTAGTATTTTAATTCGGCTTCGTGTGTATGAACAGCTTGCGAAAAATATTCTTTGATCGTGACTGAGGATCCGACGCATTTTTACTTCCCATCGATCGATGATATTCCGCCGACGAATACTTCGGTTGAGTTCGTCTCGTTGCTGAACAATCAAGGAAATTTGCAGGTCAGTAGGGATTTCGTAATCCCGTTGATGCATACCGTTAAGAAGGCACATGAACAGGCACGTTGATAATTGAGGGCTTATCCGCGTGAAGTATGATTGTGCTAAATAAAATTGCCACTGAATCAGCTTTAGCAACGCATAGGAGTGTTGCTAAGTTACTACGTGAACAAACATCTTAACATGAAATTAAAACCTTTCTTCAAGGTCTGCGTATGCACTAGGACAGACCAGCGGCAATGTAATTTTGTCGTTCGGCTAAACGTGGTGCTACAGAAGAATTACCGACGCGTTTATTGTGTATCGCATGAGTCCTGAGGTGAAACCTTGTGATTGAACCGTTTGGTAGTACATTAATCCGATTGAAAAAACGTAGTCCGGATCACATTGACCTGCTCACTGATAATTTGTTCCTTTTTTCAGGTCGATCTGCTGTTTCTTGGCTTGGCAGAGGGGATTATGGTTTGCCCAATTTAACGCAGACGATCAACGGATGCTGCCAGGTTAAACTGTGGAAGATGTCACTTTTCTTGCACTGTCCCCTGATTGGATCAGATACTCGAGTGGAATGTGTGATCGGCTTTTTGACCTAGAAGCAGTCAGTTTCAGCTGATAACTCAATGAATGTATTCGAATAAGTTCACAGATTGCTTGTGGTGTTCTGGAGCATAGTTTTTAATTTCTCGGATCTGAGTGTCGCTGTCATGACATCGTCATCTGAATCTCATGCTCGGATTCAGGAGCTCGAGAGCATTGAACTTCAGGTATTTACTCATTCAAGATGTGAAAGGTCTTTTACCGACTTCGTGCCTTCATACAGGACGGGCTTTACGACGAGCAGTATCTCAGACTCATGGCGTTGTATCTGATAGAAAATCAGCTGTAAGGGTTTTTTCTTATCAAGTGTTTTTACATGCCCGTTTACTCGTTTAGTAATGTAAATTTTATTCACATTTTTGGCAGATGTGACGCAAGAATGCTATGGTTGCGGGCACCAGACGAAGTAAAGGTTGCCGAAGGATTCTTTCAGAAACAGTTCAATGTATGTCAAGCTATCATGGCTCGTAACTACCCGGAGGCGTATGCTTCGATCGCCGGTGTGAACTGGCCTTCGGAGATTGCGTTGGACATGCAAGCCGTTTCTTGTGAGTACGGGGAAACCATGATCGTTGAATTTGTCAAAGGTTTATGATTTAAATTCAACGGAAAGTCAGGGGACCTACTCCTGAGTAGATTGTGATTGTAGTGTATATCCACAGTTAACCTGAAAAAGCGGCGACTGGCACTTATAGCGAAAGCATATGCATCCATAGCAATCAGTGATATGTCAATCTCACTGGGACTTTCCCCGGAAAGCGTGCGGGAAGTGTGCTCCAATTTAAAATGGACGACAGGTCCCGGCGATCTGGTGTACCCGAAGAAAATCAAAGAACCACCGTGTGCAGCCATTCGTGGGAACACTCTCGTCGACCACCTTTCCTCCGTTATTCAGTTCCTCGAGTGATATAATTTTGTTTCTAAGGTTTTAATGTGCCAGTGATGGTGGACTTGCATCACAGATGAAGCTCGCCTTGCATTTATTAAGTGATGCATTCGGAACGCTACTCCTTACGCTTTGTAAGGGTTTTTAGTCGTAGTATTTTACTGAGGCGGGCATTTGTTTTCTCATTCCAGACGAGAGAGGGGGGAGGGTTCGTTATGAAAATTTACCTCCCCTCTCTGTGCGTTTAGTTTTTACTTTGTGGAATTGACGAAAAATTTTTTGAGGCGCGATAATAATCATGGAGGAAGAACCGCAACATTTCAAGATCGCTGGATTTACTATTTTCTCGAATTTCGAATGTGGAAATCTTGGCTATGTGGAGCTTGCAGGACGCGGAATTTCGGGTGAGTTTTGCACCCTGTGAAGGGTTTTGCTTCCATTTCCTGTCCAGATTCTTATTTTGATCGAAAATTCCGTGCCCCTTCTAGCCGTTCATTCACGCGAACACAAGGCGAATTTCTTCAATTCTCGGCAAAAAAGAGAATTTGATTCAGTCTTGGAATTGACGACGTCTTAGGTTTTCGTGCGATATGTCTACTCTAGATTATAAACTGGTCCTAGAAATGTAGAAAATGATGTTCGAATTGTTATTTCAACTAGTTGATACATTTAAATTTCATATTATCGCAAGGGTAAGAGTGAATATGATTAGGATTGATCGTTATGTGGGAATGTGTCGGCGGTTTGCTTTGTGCACAGTTATGGTAATAATCACGTGATCGTCATATGGATTGTACTGATTTCTCCTCTCTTTTTTTCTCACGACAGGCATGTTCCGGAAGCATATCCGCTTTGCCTCACCCAATTTTCAGCGGAAACCCGACTTCGAGTTCGACATTTGGACGAATCGGGATTGCGAAGGCACGGATTTTGAAAACGGAAATCGAACCTGGTTCTGTTTTGGAGTTGGTGGAGGTCCCCCTGGAGCCCTAGTTCAATTCAACATGATGAACTTGAATCGTCAGAAGCGTCTTTTTGCCCAAGGAATGAATCCTGTGTATATGGTGATCCCATCACAGCCTTGGTGGGACCGAGTTCCCGGGAAACCCATGTTCGAGACCCTGGTGGGCAATTTCTTCATCAGTTTTCTTTTCCGTATGCCGCAAGTTTCCGACGCTGAGACTTACTTTGCATTCACGTTTCCCCACAATTACGCGAAACTGCAAAGCATTTTGCTGAATCTCGACAAGAAGCATTCCAACATCGCCCAGATGATCAAAACCCCGAATGATTACAAAGGAGGGATCTATTATCACAGAGAACTCATGTGCTATTCCCCGGATGGTCTTAGAGTGGATTTACTCACTGTCACTTCGAACAACGGGATGGATTCTGGCATGGAAGATCCGTTCAACGTGGCCAAGTTCGACTCGAAAGACGGGATACCGTTTGAGGCCAAGAGTAGGCCTAGAAAGTTTCCTGCCAAGCCAGTGGTTTTCATCACTTCTCGGGTTCATCCCGGGGAAGTTCAATCCAGCTTTGTTTTCAATGGTTTCCTGAAGTTCATTCTGAGTGATGACCCGAGAGCTCGCCACTTGCGAGAACATTTCGTGTTCAAGCTGGTCCCGTTTCTGAACCCGGACGGGGTCGTGCGTGGGCACTTTAGAACAGATTACCGAGGGATTAATCTGAACAGAGTGTATCATAATCCGTGTCCCGTCCACCAGCCAGCGATTTATGCCATGAAGCGGATCTTTTTGTATCACGCGTTCAAGGATAAGGCTGTGCTGAGAGCGGCGTTGGCGGCGGAATCCCCGTACACGTTTGTGCCGCCACCGGAGCGGGTTCCGTCGGGGGCGGACTTTTTGATTGACGAAACGACTCGGGACGCGTTGGACTTGAATCTCAAGAAGGACAAGGTTGAGCGAGATAAAGGTGGGATGAGCGAGGAGAAGGCGACGGATGATGTTCCGCTAAGCCAGATTCAGTCTGCTGCGAGGTCGTTTATTCCGGCGGCTGTTCCAAAAGGCCGCCCTGCGGATGTGGAAACAGCTTTTGAGAATGTTGAATCTCATCGGGCCGCATTATTCAGGTGAGAAGTTTTTGTTTATATACAGTCTATTAGTTTGATATTGGGAGTCCCCTTTCAAAGCCCTTGCCGTGTATTTAAAGTTTCTCCCAGCGTTTAAAATATACCGGCAATTTTTTCCCCAACACTTGGGAAGTGTGGGACAAAAGGAATGGAAAAACTGGGAAAACACCATGGGAAGATAGGATAAAATTGAATTTCCCACTGATTTTTGGAAATGAGGCAGGAATGCACAAGAAAAGGCTGAAGGGAAAGGGGGTCTTTTGTTCAGTGTTCAAGACTAGATCGTGGGAAGGATTATTAAAAAAGCAACAAAATTCCTAGGCAGAATGAATATTCGTGTAATGCTTTAGGCAAAATCATTGTTGCCCCCTTCTCGCCCAAAATTTATTTAATAGTAAAAAACTGTATATGCAACATCATCTCAAGACCAGATACTTTATTTTCTTTCTTGGAAGGTCACACTCATTAACTCTCTGCATATCTGCCGTGTTCTTCCTTCAGGTTGAGGCTCATGCGAAGTCTGACCGGCACAGATAAGAAGTCTAAAGTGAAGACAGGTAGCACGGAAGGAACCGTTATGGCTGGACTGTTCGATCAGATGCCTGCTTTGAACTCTCTGCTGAAAGATAGGGTCCAGGTTCAAGAGACAAGTCAACCTTACCGAGCAGGAGGTGGTGCTGGTGCCGCTCAGGTTCCTTCAAAATCTAGTCTTGTGGTGAGTCATTAAGTTTGCATCGATTCCGCTTCAGAAATCTTGTCACGATTGAAGCCTTCCTCCGATTTTCTCTTATACAATCGAACTTCGAAGGAACCAGCAAACAATACGAGTTGGGAAGGTTTCAAGTTAGAAAAACGAGCATTTTTGTTGGGGGTAAGAAATAAGAATTGCACAAAATTGTTATTGGTGATATTCTAGATCTTGAATGAATTGACAAGATGCTGAACTTGAAGGCAAGGGTTTATTTGCCGAATTAGTCTCTCACTTACTTACAAAAAACAATCCTTTTCTAAGTTTTCTTGTCAATAAATTCATAACCCAACAGCATTTAGAAAATTTCGAGTTATGGAGGGTTTAGAATTTAGATGGAAGCTTGGATTTGGGAGGTTTTTAATGAATTGTTCACGGGACTTCAGACAAGGACTCGGAAAAATTGACAGATGGATGTATTGAAGTTATCGAGGTTCAGCTGTATTGCTGTGGGTGCGACGTTTTTCTTCGGGAAATCGAAAATTGTTCTGGTAACGTGTAGTTCAAGGTCTATCTCAGTTCATCGCGAACTAGATGTTTGGGAGGAATTAAGAAGAGTAGGGTTTTCCCTCTGCCTAAAGATAATTTTTCTTCATCTTTTCCTTCAGATTGTCGTTCATTTGTGTAATATCCTCTCGAACTTGATTCGATTTAGCCAGAAAAAGTGGAAACGTACGAGAATCGTGAAGCCCAGTTGGCAACGAGTGAAACACGGATGTCTTCAGCTGGACCGGATGTTGTGACCAGTAGCATGAGCGTACCTCCTGTAACATTCAATGGCTCGGTGAAGAAAACTCGTCGCTCCATTCCGGCCTACTTCAATTCCGAACGCATGTGGCCGGCAAAATTGCCAGAGAAAATTGATATCAAGAACGTGGTCAAACAGAAAGTGAATGCTTTCAAATTTGGTTTCGGATTCCGAACATTCACTGTCTCGGATTGCCGGTTAGTCCTGATTGTCCCGAAGTTTTTCTTCCTCGCAATTTTCCGTGCCTCCGTTGATGAAGTGAATTCCTGGTTCATCGACCAAAAAGTCAAGATCAAATAATATAATGTTATAAGACTTGTATCATCTGTTCCGATCCCTTGGACATTCATGCAACCTCAAGTATGAAATAATTGAGAACGCAGAAATGAGGAAAAGAATGCTCATTGATGCGAGTTCATGAAAAAAACAAACCTCATCAGATATTAAAAACTCGAATGAAGTCAATGGAGAGTAGCTTTTCATTGAAGTGTTTCTTGCGTACAGAGTGATCATTTTTAGTGAAAAGGTGAAAAATTCGGGGTTTGTTAATGTATGGATTTTCCTTCCCTAGTCTAGCTTCCGCAGAAAATATTTCCAGTCGAGCCTAAGTATGGACTAAGCGTCGGTATCGAAATATTGTGCTGCGTATATCCTACGTGTAGAGAAAAAATCACGTTGACTAGGATTAGTAATACTCTACTTCACTGAAGTGAAGTTTACCTCGAAACGAATGTGCATTATTTACTGCGGCTTTATGCATCAAGATATCATACTTTACACTAAAAGCTCTCTCTAAAGTCTTTTCGAACCCCGCCTTTAATGTCAGTTACAGACTTACAGTTTAGATCGTACTACAGAGAGAAAAAACTTACGTCGAGGAAATTTGTTATTTTATCTATTTCAAAATTATTTTCATTTTATTTCTTCAGGTGTCCTGGGAACTGCACAAAATTTTGTGCTCCGAGTGATCCTGCATCACCAACTCAAATGCGAGCCGGAATGGACGTTGAGGACGCTGAAGTGAAACGACAGAAATCAGGAGTGAGTTCAATTATGTTTCTTCAAGAGCTAAATGGTCTTCCCTTTTTCAAAGACAGTGGGTCAAGAAGGTTGTCAAAGATAAGTGATTCCAATTTTTAAATCGTTGTGGGTTTTCTTCGTTTCAGGGTCCCTTGCCATCGGATCTTTTCATTCAGGATTCAGACTCGTGTGGAGCTCCTTTTGATTCGAACGTTTATCCTGGGGAAAGATTGGATCTTGCTGATTCTCGTCCCCTGGCAGAAGGTGAAAATTTGGGGAATACGAAGCAATGGTGTGAGTACAGCACTGCTTCTTCCCCCGCATTTTTGTGCCGTTCCTCGGAGGAAGCCTCTTCTTCAGAGTAAGACACTTACTTGCGACTGAAAAAAAAAATTTTTGGAGCATAATTTTATGTTTGAAGATTGCGTCCTCGAGTACCTCTTGAGGAATTCAGCGAATCGTGTCAAGGTTTGCTGCTAGACCCAAGCACAAAGGAAGCTTCGTTGCATCCCCCTGAATGCACTTCTACCCGTCAAGACTCAGTGGATCGGCAGGAAGGAGGCGGCGGAGTGGCGAGCAGCGAATTGGGCGGCGAAGAAGACGCCATGGCGGACAATGCGGCTATTAATTTGTTCCGATTGCCCAACTATTTCTCGAGCGAGAATAACGACGGGAAGGGATCCGGTGTTTTCGCCTATGTCGATTTGCATGGTCATGCGAGCAAACGGGGGACGTTTTTCTACGGAAATCATATTGACAACTTGGACGCTGCTGTTGAAACCCTGTTGTTGCCGAAAATATTGTCCATAAATTGCCCGTATTTTGACTTCGACGCTTGCAATTTTTCGAAGGCTAATACTCAGTGAGTAAACGCTTTTGCATTTTCGGATGGCAATTATTGGAAGCTTTTGGCGAAGTGAATTTGGCAAAGAGCATAGTTTTTTATATTTCATTTAAAATTGTGTATGCTACAGTGAGTCATTTTGCTACGCATTTCATGTAGAAGATTTTAGATCTTCGCGCGAATTTCCCAAGGATGTTTGATGAAATTATTTGTGGTGTTTCAGACGCTATTGCCCTTTTTTCCATGAAGGTGATGGTTCGTTTGCGGTTTTCTCACCTAATTCACCTTTTTTCTCAAATCGAAGTTTATTTATTTAAGAATCGTATTGTGAATCAGAACTTTTCTCCCTAGCCTGTACTGTATATCAATGGAACTTAACAGGCCTGAAATGTTGAGTTTCATGTGTATGGTCAAATTTTTTTGGGTTAATGGTGTATAATTCTCGTAAAGTCAAAAATGAGAGACAAATCATCAGTTTTTCGTCTATTTGCTTGTTCCAAAAAATTTGTTACGTCAATAATAATTTTTTTCTTTTTTAGAGCTCGTGGATACAGTAAAGCTGGTTCCGGACGAGTGTTTTTTCACAAAGCCACTGCCAATGCCCGTTGTTATACCTTGGAATGCAATTACAATAGTGGGTTCTATAAATACAATCCCCCTCCGTTACCGGGCTCGTTTCCTGGTCGCATGGAGAAGGAGAAAATTCGATATGACCCGGAATGGACTGGCAAGGTTGTGCGCTACAATCCTGTGATTTTTAGAGAGGTGAGTCTTATTCTTGAACACGTCCACCATAGTTCAGTTTCTGTAGAAAATTAATTTTTTCAGTATTTCAGTCGTTGACAGCTCAATTCCAGGATGAAAATATGGTTTTTAATTTTTCTCTTGCGTAAATTCAAAATCTGAATTGAGGATTTTCGAATGAATCAGAGGCAATAATGATTTTTTTAACCGTGTGATCATTTTCCTACTTCTACCTTTACGCTGTGGAGATGTCACTGGCAGTCATAATTGCGTACCCTTTTTATTTTTCACGAATTATCTCGTAATTTTTGTAACCGAGTAACCGGGAAATACGGCGTTGCTGATCATACGAGGGTTGGTCGTGTCCAAGGTTGAATTTTAATCGAATGAAAGAGCCGATCAATATCAATTTTTTTATTGGCAAATTTTAAAACTTTTGCTGACTTGGTTTTCTTTTGCGAAGGTTGGTCAAGCTTTGGCGATTTCCCTTTTGGACATGATTGGAAAGAATCCTTACTCAAGACTGCCCCAAAGCGAGTTCGGCGACGTTTTTGGCGTGAAGGAATGGCTACGAGATTATTTGACAAATCCCTTGCCTCCGGTTTCTGCGTCTCAGTATCCCGAAGTGGCCCACGTTTTCGGACCCATCACTCCGCCGGTAAGTTCTAATTTTTTTTAATTTCCTCAAGGATTTGTCTAAATATTGAAGCATTGCTGCAAAATGACTTCGTTGCAGTCTTGCGTGTTTCTTATATTTTTCGAGCAACCTTAATTCATCGAACCAGAAGGGGTCTATTCTGTTGAAATCGTGAATATTTAGCGAGTTCTTGCCAGCGGAAGTTATGTTATCTGAAATCGCGTTGTTTTTGGAAAACGAAAATCGCGGATTTTTGGCTGCCAGGAAATCTTGATTGATGCCTTGGTGAAGCGTTCCGGCGACGAGGATCCTGGCGGCTCTGGCGATTTCTAACAAAGCTGCCTTTTTCTTTTTCTTGCGGATCAATCGTCTGGTGCTTTGCGTGTCGCAAATCTGGGCCTGTGCTGCTGCTGCTGCTGCTTCCTTTTTTGGTTTTCGTATCATTTTGTTTGGCTTCCTTGTGCTGCGCGTTCATTCTGATCCCAGGTGTGTTTTAAAATAACATTCTACTTTAAGCAAGCACCGAATGAGCAGCTCTTGGAAGAGCAAGTGCGATATCTATAAATATATTACATGGAAACAGGCTGAAGAAATGGCTAATTTGTGTGCTCAAGAAGATGCTTCAAAACCCTGCATGGTCATAAAATTGCTCTTTCATGCCCATGAGCTTTTGTGCTAATTATTTTCGTTTTTGAGCTTTTACTTTCTTCAGCATTGCTTACTTGGTACAGAACTTGATCATGAGAATTGCGCTTATCAAAAGTGCACTGGATTATGATCAGAGTTCCTTCTCGGAATTATAATACTAATTGAAGACATTTTAAAAATTCAATGCGTTCCGTTGAGTGTTGCCTGAAAAATTATAAGGTAGCATGTTCTATTAAAACACAGTGGGGCCTCAAAATGTGGACGTGTATTCGACCTTGTCCCTATGTCGGATCGTCCGCAATTTCTTTTCATATATTTGCCTTCAGAAATTTTAAGGCTTATTACATTCATTTACAACAATTCGGGTTACGTTATCCAGAAGACTTCAATGGGATTACTGTAGATTTAATTGGTTCTCCTGTTGATCAGAAGTTTAAAAAAAAAAATTCCCCAAAAAATTAATAACTTTTTCTCAGCTCGAAGATGCCGAAAATAGAAGAAAATCTCACAGAATCTGATCTTCTGGCATGAAAAAAGAGCCCGAAAAGAGGAAAAACAAACGAGTCTTGCTATAGAGTACACAAATGATGGAATTCTAAAAAAGCACAAGTTAACCTTTGCATTATGTTTCCGAGTAAATGACGACTTTTTTTAATTTTTGTGAAAATAAATAGCTGTTTTTTTTAGATATCGCAATTATGAGAAATTAAATTGTTTCAATCTTCTTGAAATTTTGGTGTCCATATCTTGAAACACTGTCCTGATGTCGGGGCAAGTTTTTTTCCTAGTTTCGAGTGTAGAATCGTCCCTTTGTCGGGGCCCCATCGTTTTTAAGAAAAATTATCTGAATTTTTGAAGTACCTTAGGGTTTTGAACCTTCGAAATAGATCATGCTTAAAAATGAACTTGTTCCAGTTACCAAAGATTTTTATGAGTTTTTAATGAGCTAAGAAAAAGAAAACCCAGAAATGTATTGTATTTCAGGGCCAGGGAAAACCATCGAGTGATGCCGACAATGAGAAAGGCGGAACGCCTGCTCTTGGAGAGATAATTGGTCCCGCGGACTCGTTGCTTGCCGACTTCGCGGAACAAGGCATTGATGCGGAATATTTTAAACGCTAATGACATCATGACGCTTACTTTGCTCGGAGCACCACCCAACTTGCCTTTTCTTTAATCGGTTCTCTCCTTTTGTTGGATTTTTATCGGTTTCTGAGGGAGACAATGCTAAAGCTCGTTTGGAAATGAGCTGAACTTAGTTTTATTCGAAATCTTGCCTACGGGTTGGCTCTTCATTTTTGCCTCCTTCGTAATTCGAAGCGATTCTGCGGATTCATTTTTTTAATGCAAAATCAATGAATCAGTTGCTGACAGTATTACCTAAGATCCGACTAACGTAACGAAACAATTATTTGAAAATGTCTCCCATTTATTCCTAAGACCCGGCTGGGAGGAAAAGCACAAACGCTAGGAGTTTGGCGAGTTTTTAAAGATCATAACGAAAGTTGGTGAAGAACGTAATTGGAGTCAATTAAAAAGATTTGAAAATACCCAGAATCAGAAAGAGTGATGGGTTGGCAACACTTTTGACACAACCCTCGTAAGGTATACCGGTGGACTCCCTACAACGATTTTTCTCTGTATAACGAATTGTTTCTGGTCCCATAAGATCTCTTTCACCCGTGTTATAGGGGTTCTCTACAATGATTTTTTTTTCTGGTCCCTTTTTATTCGTCGTAGAGCGATTCCGTTTTAATCGCGAGCCTTGTGCTTTTCGCTATCTGAAAATGAGTTGTGCATACTGTTGTCGGTCGCTAAAATGTTGATAATATGCATTTGCTGGCTCTTGTTTTTCTTTCCGTTGTTTGAAACATATCTAAAGGAACCCGGAAGCGAAGGTTCGGCAAAGAAAAAGCGCATACTAGTGCTCAAAGGGGCCAAGAAACGCTCTAGACCGGTTCAAAAGCCGCCCTCGAAGTCTTCACGTTCAAGCAGTGATAATGACGCCGCCGGTATGAGTTCAGAGATGTCGCCTCCTTCCCGCAAGGCCCTCAAGGCGCACAACCCACCGTCTGCCAAAGGGCCCAAAGAAATCGTATCCAAAGTTGGAGAGACGACGAATGTCGCCAGTGGTTCCTCGGCGTCAGTGGTTGCCACCGGTGTCCGGAAGAAGATCAAGAAAGTGCGGAAGTTCTCTGAAAAGCTGCTGCCGAAGCGGAAGCGAATCAAGACTGCGAGCAGCAGCGATCGATCGAGTTCGACCTGAAAATTCAAAAAGTTTGCTATCAAGTTTAATTTTGCCTTCGAGTCCTTCCCTGAAATCCCACGCGAGTATTTGCTAGAGTATTCATCGAGAACCCCGCGTATTTGCGATGGCGTCAAATGTTGAAGGTTGCCAAGAAGAAAATTGTCTCTCTTGAAATATCTCCAGAAACCAAGTATAACTCTGTTTGCGGCACTAGGTAAGTGTCGAGTTTAAACAACAGCGGACTGCTGTTCGTTTTTCAAAATAATTATTTTGAAAAGTTTTTTGGGTTGTGGATTAGGCTTTTCATGTGATGACTTCTGGGTGTTATTCTATTTTTTCTCCATAATCATCCCTGACGTTGAAAAGAAGGGAGGGGATGACACGTTCGGAGAAAATTTTTCTTATGCAATCTGGCATGGATTATGATTGGACTAGAATATTCTCAAGTACAGTATAAGACGCGAGAAGCTTTGTTTTTCTCCTTCTTGCGTTATAAATACTGTGAATGAAAATTATGCATACTTTGCATAAATGTTGATGCGTATTCGTGACTGCCAGTGACATCTACCCGTATCAAGACACTTGGTGGACTGAAAGGACCAAGTTTGAAATTCTTAAACATTCAATGGGGTTTAGGCTCTCAAAAATTTCGTGAGGCTTTAAAATTTGATGTGACCCCTTCGTATCCAGGTTATTTCAGAAATAAGCTTTTCGTAGTTTCAAAAGGTTCATGTTGCGTTGCCTAGATTCATTGTTGGAAATACTTTAATGAGCCATGTCATGATTTCTCAAGAGCATTTGTTGGAAAATGTGGATGATTTCAAGAGAGATCCATGATGTTGATACGACTCTTGATTTATATTTCAACAATTGGAGGCGTCAACTCGTATCTTACCAGATACATAGCAATTTTACTGCACTTCACGATAAAGTCTGATTTAAACATTTTTATTTTTCTGAGTAGGAATAATTTAGGAAATTATCGAAGGTTATATGGCTGCGTATTAATTTCTTGTCTCCTTACCAGACTTCCAATAAATGGAAGAGTGCCCTCAAATTTATTATTACTGTATTGGAATCTCTTACAACATTTGAGAATCAGTCTTGAGGGGAATGTTTCATATTTTTTGTTTTATGCGATGGATTATATTTTATTTAGTGCATTATCTTCTGATGAGCGATTTGAAGTTCGCTGGAAACATTTTCACTAGACCTTTGAAAATTTATTGGAAAATTTTTCAATCACGGCCGAAGTTACTGTCCTCGAACCATCAGAACTCGATATTTTTTGAGAGCTTCGATCCTCTCATGCAAACGTTTCATTTGGTTCGACGATCTCGTTTACGATTTTTGACTCGTCGTGTACTGATTTATTAACAGTGTGATACTAGTTTTAAAATAATGTTTTCAGTTCCCGCGCGTGATTTTTCCGAATCGGTAATTTGTAGCCGCCATTGTGATACTCCTTCCTTCGCGTTGACAGCGGTTTTTTTTTTTTTTTTTTTTTTTTTTTTGTCCTTTAACGCGCCTCGTTTCGTTGTCTNACGCTTTGTCTGGGTTTTTTTTTTTTTTTTTTGTGTTTATTTGGTCCATGAACGCGACTCGTTCCGTTGTCTAGTGTTACCTTGTTGTGTGGCACGGGTTTTTGTTCGTTTTTCTGTGTGGAATTTTTGGTTGACGGCTCGAGAGCTTGGTTTGAAGAACGGGATCATGTGGCAAAAACGGAGAAGAAATGAATGCAATCGCTGCAGAAATTATTTTTCGGGATCCTTGATTTCGTCGTATGATTGACTGATGAGGTTTTGATGATTGTCGGATTTCAGCCGCCGACGTTGACGAAGATAGCCCAGTTGTTGTTCGAGCCGAAGGACCAACCCGTCGGGATTGTAGAGGAGATGTCGGCGATGTCGCGGGACAACCAGATCGGGCCGGGTGTGAGTGAGTGGAGCGCCTTGAGGCAGGTTTCCTGGGTTCCTCATTGGCGCGGAAACGTCTTTTCGCGGACCGGTGAAGGCGAAACGCTTCGACTCACTCGTGGAAAGGTGAATTCGTTGAGCCGCTTTTGTTGATGATTCTAATGACTTTCTTGGCCAATGAATCGTTTTTATTTGTATGCGAGGGATGATGATGCGAAATCACCCTTGCCGGGAGCGGGGGGGGGGGGGGGGGGGGGGGGGGTGAAATTTTTTACATTATTTTCTCAAGAAATTTAACGCGTTGAAAACATTTCTTACATTTAAACACAGAAACTAATGCTGTACACTGGTACCATAGAGAACTGAGACTTGCTTTGTCATCAATTATTGCTTCGGATAGAAGACATATCCGTCTTCTGGGCTGCAACAAAAAAAGGTTGCCTCAACTTTTGAGTGGAGACCAAAACTCTGCCAGGGTGAATTATGAAAAAAATTAAAAAAAAAAAATTGTGAAACAGGGCTGATATTTTTTTGTGTGACGAAGAATATGTTTTCCCTATAGAAAAAAATTTTTCTGCTCAACTGTAGGCCATTTTCATTGCTACTCCAAGAACTTTTGTTAGAACCCTTTTACTGTATGTACTACAGGGGAACTGTGATACCTTGAACATTCTGGAGTCAAATGCATCTTTATTTTTCAATTAAAATCCTTCCTAAATTAAATTTTCTGGAGGCTTCTTGGCTATTATGTTATTGATACAGGTGGTACCTTGCAATTTGACCTCCTGCACTTTGTCTGTTCTACAATTTTACAGTCAAATTTGATGAAAGGTTGACTTGCAATTTGACCTCTCTCCTGCAATTTGACCTGCTTCAGACACTTTTCTAGCATTTTTGTGCTGCTCTTACTTAATTTTACGGTTTTTTTTCGCAGCATATATAGTGATAATTTCAATAATAGCTCTGCATTTCAGCAATACAACAATTTGGAATGATCGTTGAGGAGATTTTAACAGGGAAAATGTACGAATGTTTTATGCTTATCATAGGTGCGGTAGCGTATTGCGGAGAATCTGTCGTCGAAGCCCGTTATCAATAAGTAACGTTAAAACGAATTTTCCATTATGCTAATTATTTCACGCTTCCCCAGTCAGCAGTCAAAACTTTGACACGTTGCGTAATGAAATTCAATAAAACATGTGTTCATTATTCGGTACTTCATAACCGATTACAGTACTCCTTTTCTCATGATTTTTTCTGCAGTTCTTCTCGTACACTTGAGAATGAAAAAAATTATTTTCCCTGGGGAAACTTTTCTACAGTATTTCTGCTGCTGGGAAAAATGTATTAACGTTTATCATTCGTATTCCGCTGGAAAACATTTGTTGTTTTGTTCCAGTGTGTTGATTTGTCCGGAAAACCTAAACTTTATACCGAGGTAATCTCCTTTTGGAAAAATTGAAAAGATATTTTAGTGGCATTCAGTATGACGAATTTTCTTGTTCCTATATGTAAAAAGCACTGTGTGGGACGACATTTCACGTGCAGTATATGCTGCGAGCTATATGTTCGCAAATATCGCACTTTTGATTATTTTATATTAATGCGAAATTTGAAAATTACCGCTCGTGAATTGATCCTTATAATTAAACAGAGCTTCTGAATAAGACTAACTTGATTTCAAGATTTTTTTTTTAACTGAGTGAGATGATCTTTCTTCTGAATTCCTATTATATATGAGATGATATTCAACTTTTATAGACAGTGCTGCCAACATTTAATTTTACGTTCTTCAGGTTAGAATAATACGGTTGGACAATAACGGGTCGCTGTCGGTCTCGTCATTGTAATTGTACACTTCGCCTTTTTTTTTTTCTTCGGCAGTCGGAAATCGAATCCTTCTTTGATAATTTATCATCAATTCAAGCTTTCATAAATAATTTGATAGCTTTGTATATGAATTATTTTCATGGATATGCAGAGGCGTCGTAAAGGTCGATTGCGTGTCGTGGAGTCGGAAGATCCGTCAGCGTATCGTCGAGGGAATGGAAGAGCACAACCTGCCATTGAACTTCCTGTAAGTTATTTTTTTTGCAAAGATTTCTTCACAATATTGTACTGCTACACATTTTTTGGTTGAAATATATACTGTATAATGTATTTAAGATATTGTGAGGTACTGTGTAATGTAAAGAATGGTACGAAAATGCTTTGGTTTTGTGTGGAACATGCTGTAGATCGCAGAACATTTCGCCGAACCTTTTTTGATGCTGACAATATTGCAGTATAGTGAGACCCCAAGACGCAGGCGTTATTGGTGCATAAAGAGTGTCCCTAAGTCAAAATGTCCCTAAGTTATTGAGTCTTATTTTCCCTTAGACTTGCATTATATAATTTATAACTGGTGTTTTATGTACAAAATACTCACCATAATTCCATGGAAATAAAAACTGTCTCCCAATTATGACTGATATAATTACTATATTTCAACACAATATTGAAATATGTGGAATTGAATACTGATAGCTCTGTACAGTACATAGAAATGTTGGTATTCTCTGTAAAAATAACATTCAAGTGAAAAAGAGAGAAGGAAGTCCCTCTATGCTGGTGTTTAACTAGCTTCAATATTTCCTCTCCATTCATATTGAAGAAGAATAAACCGGAAGTATAACCGGCTTACATGTTATTTACTCGATAATATCTAAGATGCTCCTTATCCATTTGTGTGCCTCAAGAATGCGATCGATTCTGTGTGTGAATGTAAGAAATGTTTTCAACGCGTTAAATTTCTTGAGAAAATAATGTAAAAAATTTCACTCAAAGATAAGAGAATTTATTTCAGAGATTTAGCGAAACAATCGCCTCCAAAATATTCGACAACGGAGTTTTTATTTTAATCACTGAATTGTTAATCTCATCATCAGAAAACTTGAAGAAAAAGTAACCGGCTTTCAATGCATTTCCCCGAATATGGATTATATGTAAGATGACGCACCTCTTTATTTTTCGTGCCTCAAGAATGCGAATGATTTTGCCCGTGAATGTATAAGACATGCTGAAATTTTATTAATTTTTTTCTCTCAGAAAATAACGTGAAAAACTGTCACTCAAAAAATATTTAACGCAATATGATAATTTTTCAGAGATATTGCGGAACAACTTTCGTCAAAGGAGTTTTGATTCCAATCAATGAAATGTAATCTCATCATCAGGGAATTGACCAAAAAATGGGAATTTCGAAGTAATCGGGGCTTGCATCGTATTTCCCCGAATATAGATTACATCTAAGACGCACCTCTTTATTTTTTGTGCCTCAAGAATGCGAGCGATTTTGCGTGTCAATGTAAGACATGTATGTGCTTGAATCACGTAAACTTTATTCAAAAAAATCATATGAAAACTGTCTCTCAAAGATATTTTCGGCAATAAAATCATATTTTTCTCAGAGATTTTGCGAAACACCTCCAAAATATTCTTCAAAGGATTTTTGATTTCAGTCGATGAATTTGTAATCTCATCAGTAGAGAATTATGCCGAAATGATCAAAACCCCGTAACTATTGTTTTTTAGTGAGGAAATAATAATACAGTAATAACAGATGTACAGTGTATATTCAAAATAACCTGATTGAGACTTCGTTGATAAAATCTGAAGCCGTTATTATACCGTATATTCATTCCGAAATGCAGC